GCTTGTAAAGTGGACATTCCATCAATGATACTGCAAACAGTTCTGTTCATTGATCCAATAAAACTCTGTGATATCATTTTCTATCTTATACACTTAAATATACATGCAGTTATATAGTTTAGAGCACTTTCTTTTCCTCTCTTTTGTACCATGACTATTACACATTTTGGGTTTCATTGCTCCCACGGTTCTTATTACTTTTTTGGAAGAGAGTAAAACCAAATGTGACATAACAGAACAGAATCGGTCAAGTCAAAAGGGTGGACATAATAGATAATGTAAAAACATAATACAGGTGATCAACAATGGTTACCATAATGTCTCCCGCTATCTCTAATAGAATTGCCTATATCATTAGTTATAATACAATTGAACAAAACAGTAAAGAATAAAACCGACAAAACCAAAACATTGGAGACATTGTAGGTCTTCAAAAGTAGCTAAAAGTCAACAAGAATGGGCGTCATAATGAATCTCATTATCTTCACAGCTGATGCCTAAACTTTCAAACCTGATACTATCCAGCAAAACAGAATAGGGGAACATCAGTTAAAAACCAGATGGTGAGAGTAATACAGGGCTTTAAATCAAGGTAATGAAAAGTCAAAATGGGTTACTATAATATATCCTGCTATTTTTTTCCTTTAATTAAAAGGATAAAGATAAAAAAGTAAATAATGGAGTGGAGATTGAGATAAAAGAGGGCATAACAACGAAATAGCGCAGATCAAAACATAACCATTTAAGCAGAATAGTGTTTCACCACCAGATAATCCTAACCTAAAAGTAGTTACCATATTGTTTCTTTCTTTGAAATCCTTGAGTACAACTTCGTATACTGTAGCATTAAATATATCAAAACAATGTAAAACCATTCAAGAGAATGACAGCATTACAGAGTATTTAGAATCGACTAACAGAAAATGAACAATGGTTTCTGTATAATCTCCTTGTCTTTAAAAGGTTTTTGCTTATACTATCGTACATAATAAAATCCAATAAGATACAGCCTATTTAGACCATTGGAGACAGAAGGACAAAAGCTAGATGAGACTTCAAAACAAGATGATACTAAATCAGTATTACCTATTAAGATGTCATTTTCTCCAAAATAGCTGTTCCTATCATCCAATCTTCTCTGCCTCGTTTCTGTTAAGCTCTTTTTCTGTCAGTAGCTGTCAGTTTGTCTTCTTCATTTTGTTCTCTGCTCCATTTGTTGTGGCCTCCCCGCCACTATTTCTGGGTTCCTTGTATTTTTCTTTTTTTAGAATATCCTGCAATACTTTCTGTAGAGTTGAATTGGTGGTTGCAAATTCCCCCAGTTCCTCTTTATCCTGGAAGCACCTTGTTTTTCCATCAATTTCCAGGGACAGTTGTGCAGGATATCTCAATCTTGGCTGGAGATTATTATCTTTCAATGCTTGAATTATTTCCCCCCACGCTCTTCGTGATTTGATGGTTTGTGCAGAGAAATCTGCTGTAATTCTGATGGGTGTTCCCTTGTAAGTGGTCTGTTTCTTGTCTCTTACAGCTTTTAATATTCTGTTCTTGTATTGAATTTCTGGAATTTTTATTATTATATGCCTGGGTGTTGCTCTGTTTGGGTTGTAGGTAGCTGGGGTCCTGTATGCCTCATACATCTGAGTATCTTTACCTTTTGCTAAATTAGGAAAATTCTCCTGGATTATTTCTGTGAGTAGCTTTTGTAGTTCACTTGTTTGCATCCCTACTTCTTCTTTTATATTCTTAATCCTTAAGTTATGGATCCTCTTATCATCTTCTTGTCTTTGTATTATTGCTGTTTGTTTCTTTGTTATTTTTAAGAAGTTTTTCATTTCATTCTCCCATATTACAAGTCTGCCCTCCAGTTCAGATAGTCTGTCCTTAGTTTCTTTCAAGCTGTTATGCCAGTCTTCGATAGACTTCTTAGTATCTTGGTAGTCCCTTTGAACCTGCTTCACATATTCTATGCTTTCTCTGTTTTCTCCATCAAACAATTCTCCCCTTTTTTTCTGTTCTTCCATTCCACCACCTGTTTTTTCTTGGGTGGTGCTTAGCATTTCTCTAACTATTCTGCATACTTCTAGCTTCAGGTCGTTGATAACTTCATTCCTGAATTGGTCTATGAGGCTCTCTATATGGTGCCTTATGTGTATTGGTGCGGTGTCCGCTATTGCCTGTTTCTCAGAATTGGGGGCCGAGGAGCCTTTCTTGTTGCTGCCTCTTCCCATGCTGCCTCTTCTTCTCTGTTCCTTATATATGCAAGCTTATATAAGAGGCCCAGCTTCTCTCCCAGTCAGCCACAGCCTGATCGAATTGCGCCAGTTAGGTGTTCCCGCTCACCGCTGCGCACCAGGGAGTTACGGACCAGGCAGCCTACGCGTCTCCCCTCCCAGCCTCCGTCAGGCTCTGGGATCTGGGTTGGGACAGTCTACCAGGTCCGCCGGCAGCGTCACGCAGGCCAGGCACTTTTCACCAATCCCACCCGAGAGGGGGATGTGTGGCTGGAGTCGCCACCGTGCCCTGCTCCCGCAGGACTACTCGGGCCCAGAAAGTCCTCTGCTGGAGTCAAACTGTGGTAGAGTGTCAGTTTCTCTCACTCACCTCACCATAAGTCAGTGCACGCCTCCCTGCCATTCGCAGATTGCCGTTCTCAGAGCTTCTGCACGTCTCTCCCCTTGCCGAGCGGCTGTAGAGGCAGCCAGCCGCTGCGCGGCGGGAAACCCAAATCGCGGCTTACAATGGCGCGGTTCCAGCCTCCACACCGAGTCTTTTCTGTTCCTGTTTTAGCACCAGGACTGCATTCCAAGTTGGCTTCTCTCAGCCCAGTTCGTTCCTGAGTCAGCAGAGCATATCTCCACCTGCTTATGTCTCCTTAGTCCGCACCATTCCTGGCTTCTGAGCCGAGTCTTTCAGAGAGCCGCCGGTAGTTGCTGTTATCTGTCCGCCATGTTCTCCCGGAAGAGTCCATGGATGAAACTATTACACACACACACACATACATTTTTCCGGCACTTGAGATTGAACCCATGACCTTTGAGTTGTAGCCCCAGCCCTTTGTATTTTTTATTTTGAGACAAGGTCTCACTAAATTGCTAGTTATAGGGGTTCCCGGCATGTGGCACTATATCCAACATATTTTTTTCTGGTGATAGAATTATCTGATTTCAGAATAAAAAGTTATGCTAACCTCCTAAAATTACCTGAGAAGTGTTTTCACCTGTTGTCTGCTAAAGATTGAAATTCTTGGTCTTCAGGAGTTTGATAGAGCTCATCGATAAAATTACCCAACTTCTGATTTACTTTGTAGGAAGATATGTGATTACCAGTTTAAGTTTTTGAGCCCAGGAGTGGTGGTGCACACACACCTGTAATTCCAGCACTTGGAAAGGTGAGGCAGGAGGAGTGCTGCAAGTTTGAGGCCAGCCTGGATGGGTTACAGAGTGGATTCAAGGTCCAGTCTGAATTACATAGCAAGACCTTGCCTCAAACTAACAAAACTCATAAACTGGCAGTTGGTTGATACTTAAACCAGTTAAATTTCTTTAATAGTTACAGATTATTTGGGTTTCTAAAATTTATTTTTCATTTAGCATAGGTTATATATGTTTTTCTAGGATTTTGTGTATTTTATCAAATTTATTGGCAGAAAGCTGCTTATTGTATCTCCGTAGAGTCCTTTTCATGTTTAAGCATTTTTCATATATCACTTCTCATTCCTGATAATGGTTTTTTGCTCACTTTTTTCTTATTTCCTTATCTGTATTATGGGAATGGTTTTGAAGAGAGTTTAGATTTTTCCTTATAGGAGATAGGAACAACCCAGTAGTTTTAACCAAGGGAGAAATGAGGTCATATTTTTATTTGTAAAGATTACTGTGGATCAAACACTATGCTAAGCACTGATGAATAACATCAATGAGATGATCTCTCCACCTCTGAAAATAGTGGAAGATGCAGTTATAGAAACAAATTACAATGTAGTACAGTAAATGCTAATAAAGAAACAAAGTTCAGGAGACAGATACTTTACTTTGAAACTGAAGTTTGACATTGGAGCAACTTCTTTATTAGCAGCATAGAGAGCCTTTTCCTGTCCTCCTCATGGTCTAGGAAGTTTATGTTTGTAACCCCATGGAAATGTCATTGGAATTCTAACAAGTTAATGCCAATCTACCACTTCCAGTGCAACCCATGGCAAGAATAAAAACATTAGGACATATTTATAGTTATGGGGAGCTAAAGGGGTCCCAAATCCAGCCAAGATGGTGGTTCATCAAAACAAAGGTCACAGCCTAACCTGGGTTTTATGAATTCTCCATGAGGGGAGTGGCTCAAGGATGAGTGACTGAGAGTGGCGGGAATTAAGTGAAAGCCTTGAGCTGGGCTAGGTGGGAAGCCTGAGATTACCTTTGCCTGTGCAGAGGGCAAGAAATAGAGAGAGTAATCTGCATAATGCAACTAAGGTACTATCTAATATTTTGGGGTCGGTACTTCAGCTCTTACTGCCCTGGGAAATTATAACCTCTCCAAACTCTGTCCCAGCTGAGAGCGTGGAGCATGGCTTTCCATCCTGTCTAGCTCAACCATATTTTTCTGGGAATCACTGGCTGGGGCAACAGTGACTGTCACCTTGCTTCAGAGGTTACACATCAGCTCTAAAGTCTGCCCAATTCGCATTGCTTAAAGCCAGTTGAAGGGACAAAGAAATGGCCTAGCCAACTCTGTACATGGAGATAGGGCCAAGTTTATTCAAAATGGAATAACTGCTCTTCTTTCAAGGAGAGTTGTTCGGGTGGTTCCCCAAAAGCATTTCTTAAGTATTCTCAGGTTTATATTCAAACATCTAAATCCTTTGAGTGCTATTAACATGGGATAGCCTAGAAAGGCTTGATTTGGTACCCAGTCTGACTTTTCTGAGCCACCCCTCAATTTGTGTTCTTTGTTTCAGAGCACATATTCAATTTAATGAAAACTAGTGGTTTCTTTCCTGTAGGTATAGAGACTATCCAGGTTGTGGCTGTAATTCCAGCTCTGATTTGACTGTCATGCATCATGGGCAGACTATTGGCAAAGGGCGCCCCTCTGCCACAGAGATCAATCAACAACCTCCGCGACTTCTCATCGTGCACATTGCTGTACCATCCTGGGCTGACATCTGCTCTAACCTTTGTGATGCTCTGCAGAACTTTTTCTCACTAGCCTGCAGCTTGATGGGCCCCAATCGCATGTCTCTGTTCAGTTTATACATGGTACAAAATCAACATGAATGCATCCTCCCATTTGTGGTATGTACATTTGTATTTATTCATTTGGGGTTTGTTTTATTTTATTTTGTTTTTTGTCTTTTTGAGACAGAGTCTTGCTGTGCAGTTGAGGCTGGCTTTGAGCTCATTTTGTAGCCCAGGCTGGTTTCAAACTTGCAATCCTCCTGCCTCAGCCTCCTGAGTGCTGGCATTACAGGCATGTGCCACTGTTGCAGGAAAATTCTGAGTCAAACCAAAAGGAAGACTGTTTGCACCAAGGAGATAAGAAGGTAGTGTTTAATCTTTAGTTTAATCTTCACGCAGTGGACTATTAAATCTTCATGCCAGCAGATTATTGCGGGATAGTTCCTCAAAGGCAACAGCAGTGAGTTTACAGAGTTTAGTTTATATAGAATTTATAAGTGGGAGATAGAAAGCAAGTGATAATGTTACATAATTGGTTACATGCATTGAGTTACATATTGATAGGCAGGCTAGCCTTGAACAGATTTGTTGAAACAAAGGAATTGTTTATCATAATGTAGAAACATTCTGGGAGCAAGGGGATGGGGCCCTACAGAGTGAGCATAGTTAATGGTGTCCTTGACTAGCCCAGGGTACCTTAAAGTATAAGCAATTACTTTGATTCAGTGTTTATCAGAGGTATGCAACTGGGCTATAGACAGTTGAAGTCAGGAGCAGAAATCTAATTTGTATCATGAAATGCCTGTAAGTTTTAAATGAATTCTTAAATTATAATGTTTCCCAACACTACCATGCCCAGCTTATATTTATTCATTTTATCCTGAAAAAAATTATGAGGTTTCTGGAGCAAAGATCACAGTCATAGCAATAACTACCCTGCTTTTTCATATCTAATAGCCCCAGGTCTCCTGTGAAAGTCAGATGTCATTCTGCATATATATCTGTATATATATATATATATATATATATATATATATATATATATATATAGAGAGAGAGAGAGAGAGAGAGAGAGAGAGAGACTTGCACTGCAAAAGTCCCAAAATAATTAACTGTGATTAAAATAGGCCATTCCCTCTACTCCTAAAAGGAGAGAAACCTAGGCATTTATACTTCTTTGGAATGTAAACAGCTGACTCCCTTTACCTCCTTTGTCATATAAGCATTAAGTAAATCTGTAAATCTCTTCCTAGGCCTCTGACCATTGAATCACATTTTTTTTTTATTCTTGGTATCAGGGATCAAACTCACAACTGCACGCTTGCAAGGCAGGTGCTTATGCTACTGAGGTAAATCCCCAGCCCTTGAGTCACATTTTAACTTCTAAGACATGTCCTCTACATCAGGCACCAGTTTTCTTTGCTCAGAAAACCCTAACCAGGTAAAAAAAAGATAATGAGAGCCAGGAATACAGCTCTGCAGCATAGCACTTCCCTGGCAAATATAAAAGCATGAGTTCAAGTCCCAGTACAAAAAAAAAGTAATGAAATTTTCTCTACAGTTCACCGATGAACTTTGAATTTTTATCAGGTAAAACTAACTCCCTTTTGGTTTTAGAAAGCATTGTTGGGCTAGAACTGAGCCAAAGCTCCCTCATAAGCAAGACAGCTATCTATTCTCTTCCTTATATAAAGTTCAAAGTTCAAAATCACAGAGATGAGAACTTCTAAAGGTGCCTCCTTCTTTGAGGCAACCAAACTGATAATATATCCTATTAAATTGACATAAATCCTGTTCTTTAAGATTCCCAATGGAACAAATTTCATGACTCTGTTGATGAATTACTAGTGTCAGGTCTCATTAGGATCTACTGTTTTGTTTTGTTTTGTTTTGTTTTTTAGTACCAGGAATCAAACTCAGGATGTTATGCTTGTCAGGTAGGTGCTATGCTGCTGAGCTGTATCACCAGCCCTGCTTATTTTTAAATTAACACCTTAGTTTCCCTCTTTGAAAGTAGAAAAATGTCATTTCCATTGATACTATGAAAATAATTTACATTGCTTTATGCTTCCTGAGTTACATCCTTATGAAAATAGAACATACCAGCTGGGTGTGATGGCACACACTTGTAATCCCAGTACTTGGGAAGCTGAGGCAGAAGGATCAGCATGACCTCAAGGCCTGCCTGAGTACATAGTGAACCTAAGGCCAACTTAAACTACAAAGTGAGACTGTGTCTCAAAAAAAAAAGTTTAAAAATCCCTGTAATAAATACATACATGAGTGACATCATAGTATATTATTATCAAGTACGTAATAGTATGTGCTATACTTTAGAGACTGATGTGACTGACAGCACAGCAATACCACAAACATGAATAATACATTGCCCTATGATATTACAGTGCCTACAATTTCTCCAGTCAATAACAATCTTTCAAATCCATTAGCTTATAATACCACCCAAGTATATGCAGTCCATCATTGACTACATGTTATTTATTCATATATACATTCAAATAATTTTTAAATCTACAGTATTATCTTTTAGCCTATAAATCTTAAAATTATTTTGTTCTTATTTTCATTTTTTAAATAGATGTCAGTCAAGTTACCAGCAAGAAACAGATGACATACTCAAATTAAGTAGTTTTTAGAGATCTAGAAAGGGAATATTTACAGAGGTGAAGGCAGGGAAAAGTTCACTTTAGGAAAAGTGAACAAAAGATGGTGCAGAAAACCCTTGAAGAGGGTTGAAAGAGAGAGCTATCTGAAGAGACCTACCTGGAGGATCTGTGGCCTTTGTTAAAGAAAAATTTACTGTTCTTGTGAAAGCATGGTAGAAGCCTTTTTCAGAACCATTGCAGTAGTTGCAGGTGCTTTGGCAGTGGAATTTTGCCATGGGTAAAAGAGTTTGAGCTCAGAATTGGCAAGTGGGAAATTTCAGCCAAGAAGCAGGGCTAAAGTCAGCAGGTGGAAAATTACTAAGAAGAAGCATCAGAAGTAAAGGAGATTTTGCCTACACCAACCTAACAGAATTCTTGCTTAAGATTGGCAAGGATAGTTAGATATTACCTGAGAGGGTAGTAATATTTAATCAAATAATGAAAGTGATGAGATGTTGAAGGCTAGGGTTCTTAACCTGCTGACTTAGCAGGGTTTTTGCTAATACCATGCTATACTAGGAATTGCTCAGATGGGCCTAGAAAGAGATTGGGCAGCCTAATTAAAATTTGGCCAAGCAAAGAATCTTTGTCATCTTCAGTAGAGAAATACAGACATCCAGTGATGATATGATGGGGTGGGAACAGGGGGAAAATACCCTGACCTCACTCTCCCAAATCTAGATCTACTTGTGCCTTCATTGGCCACACCCAGCTGGAAGCAGAAGTATAAAGGAGCTCAATCCATCAGTCACTATACATCAGCTTCCTGGGTACAAATCAAATTACAGAAAAATAGAGAATCATATGGGAGGGCAAGTGAAAGATATACAAGATAGGGAGTTATTAGAAGATGAGTTTGTATCCCAAACAAGGATAAAAAGATTTTTTTTCTTCCTCAAGTGGCTGTGTTTTGTCCTCCTGACACTCCCCGGTACTTTTGGCCCTTGTTGAATAAAGGCAGACATTTTATACTAGAAACCATGACTTGCTAGTCTAGAAATTCAGCTGAGCTTTCAGGTGTAACAGTAAATCAGTAATCCAAAAATAAAATGATCAAGCCTTTAGTCCCTATACAATACTATAAGCAAGAGTCTAAAGTGGAAAAAGTACCTATTTTCCCTGTTCCACTTTTCTCTCGTGAGCAGGGTACTGGCTGAGGGTCAAATGGATCAGCACAGATGTGAGGATCATCTTACTAATGAGGGAACCCTCTATAAAAGTCTCTGGCAGTTTTATAGCCTGGGATTGGGGAAGAGGCTAGGAGTGGAAAAGTACTGAATACTGAGTCAGAGTAGGAAAAAGAATCTTCAGCATTTCTCTTTTGTTCCCCCATAAGGCAAAATTCCCTGTGGAAGACCTAACACTTGGCCTCAGATAAAAGAGATGTAGGAATGAGTGTGCCAGAGATAGGAATACAAGTATTCCAAGAACAGGATCAGCTGAGGAGGCCTAACTCCTTGAATGGGACCCTTTTTTACAGACCGCAGTACAATGCAGGGAGGGCAGCTTCTCTCCCCCTGCTCCCCAGGACCTGGCACATAAAGCCTTTGTATTTGTGTGGTCAGGTCTGAAAAATCAAGAAAAGGTTTTTAACCAGAATTCAAGCTGGGGATATAGCTCAGTGGGATAGCACCTGCCTGGCAAGCCCAAGATCGTAAGTTTAATCCCCAATACCAAAACAAAATACAAAAACAAAACCCAGATTTTTAACCAGAATTTAGACTTTTCACTGACCATTCAGGAAAAACTACAAACCAAAATATCTTTCTGCAGAACGGTGAGTCCAATCCTATTTACTAGTTCAAGAAAATTCCAGGAACAATGCTCTACTTTATATATAATGACACAATCCAATCTTTAAGGAAAAACATGACTTTAAATTCTTTGTGACTGACCTATTTAAAAATCTGCTATTTTCTATCTGTAGAGGCAGCTCAAAATAAAAATGTAGAACGATAATATGGGAAATTTATCGAGGATGAATAGTTCTCATGTTTAATTTTTGAGTATGATGAAATAATTCTGAATATTTTATAAGGAATCATAATTAAAATATTAGAATCTCTTTTTATATCCATTGTACCCTTAATATAAATAATTCAAATCAAAATGGTCCATTCCCCCTCAAAGCAGGATTTTTTTTTTTGGATTACATATTGTCATCTTAGAAATAGTTGTTCAAGTTACAAAGTTAAAGCTTATAAAGTGGACATTCCAACAGTGAGACTGCAAACAGTTCTGTTCAATGATCCAACAAAACTCAGTAATATCATTATCTATTTTATACACTTAAATATACATGCAGTTATATCATTTAGAGCACTTTCTTTTCCTCTCTTTTCTACAATGACAATTACACATTTTGGGTTTTGTTGCTCCCGCAGTTCATATTACTTTTTTGGAAGAGAGTAAAACCAAATGAGACATAACAGAACAGAGTCAGTCAAATCA